TGGCAGGTGTTACATGTCCTTATGTGCGTAGCGCGCTTTGCTTCGCACACTCGTTTGACTCCGGCAATTCTTGCCCTTGGATTGGGGATGCGTGCGTTCAGGGCTTAAAGGATATAAAAGCAAGCCTTCTCACCCATTCTCACCCTTGAAAAATGCAACAAAAGGTCGGGCTCCAGCCAAGGTCATCCCTCATCTCCTTTTCCGACACCCACTGCTCATCCACCCAGACGGTCTGGGTGGATTTTTTCCGAACGATGATCTCCAGCTCTAAGATGAACTGGTCCTATAATTAGACCACGAAGCATCACGAAACCCACGACTTCACACATAGCGTTGCAAGGTATCGGTATATATATTATTTTTATGACTTCAGCACAGACACAGAGCCTTATTCCAATTCGAACGCATAAGCAACTGCGCCATGGTGGACTGGTCTCTGGTAGCCCATTCCGTTCGCACCCATTCCGGGACGTTGAGCCCCTTCTTGCTCTTGTGCACAGCACACATTCTGCGAAGCCTGGCTTTTGCCGCCTCACGGAGGTAGTCCTGCAACGTTTGCACATTAAACATATACGATCGATCCTGAAACATTTTGGCATGCACTTGAAGGCAGACGATATTTACGCATCAAAACATAAAGCTCCTGACGTGTTTTCTTCTTGAAAGCCTTTTTGGTTCCATCGGCGGCTGTCTCGTTGCTGGTGCCATTGCCCTGACAAACACCCAAAAATTATAATTGTTTTATGTCCAAAAGACACGGCCTGGGCAGGATCCTCAGTGCGTGGAGCGGCATCTTCCGATCTGGCAGGTGTGGCCACGGGACGTTCCGGAATTGGCTCCTGTCGGCGAGTGTCTTACAGTCATATATATCCAAACAAGGTCATTGGCAATGTGTTCAAAAGCGTTCTTGCACACATCATGCATGCATGTGGGTGTTGATAGTCTAACGATTCAATTAGGGGTCTCTGGGGGAGTGCGGGTTGACTTCTCCTGCGCCGGGTCTTGGACAGACGGGAGTTTCATCCCGGCTGCAAGCAGTTCCTCATCGGTTGCCTGCGCCACAACGCATCCACGTGCACCCCAAACATGGAAGGGCTCACAAAACAAATGAGCAATCATTATACAAGTGGCGTGGTTGTAAGCGTTGATTTAAGTGTTATATACTATAGCTCATGCATGGTCATATATGTACATTCCGTCGCTGTGCCTTCTGTGTCTCCAGGTCAAAAATATCCCCCTCAGCAGATCGTTCCGCTGGTTCGTCAGAAGCCTTGGGCGTCGGGCAGGAGGTTCTGTCCCATGGTTTGATCATTTGGGGGGAAGAATACTTCAACATGTATAGGTGCAAAAGCGGGAAACACAAGTCTCAAGGTCCACCATAGTAGGGGCCGTAGGGGCCTGCTCCAGCTTCAAGCGTTCCATTTCCTGATGTATAAACCCACGCATGGAAACAAAGCATACTGACCTGCCGTTTGCAAACTCTGGATTGCTCATCAAGGTTTTAATTTATATAAGTCGGTTCAAGCTAAGAGTCTGCAATTTGCCTTTCCAATTCCAATTCTTCATCTTCAAGTCCGTTAGCCTCTGCCCCGACCTGGTGGACGCCATCCATTAACGTAGAGCAGCTCCATCTCCGAGTAGATGCAGCAGTCGACATGGAGGGCTAAGAAAGGGGGAAAATCCGGAGCCCCAGGGTATCACTGCTACCGAGAATCTTCCACAAATCCTACGATGGATAACTGTTGGCCACTAGACATGCAGCCGCGTGTTTAAATTCACAAGACACCTTGCACCAACCTTGTCATCGTAACTCCTTTTCTTGTTCGCGACCACGAGTCGGCGATCTAAGATCCCCACAGACCTGTCACTTCGACAGGTCGAATTGAATGAAAAGCTCCAAAAGCTGATATCTTTGGACTCCTGGGGGGAAGTAAAAAACCCATAAATTTTTTATGGGTTTCTACGGGTTACGATGGTTTTTTATGGGTTTTCTACGGGTTAGAAAAACTCATGTTTTGGGAAAACACGAGGTTTTTGCTGGTGACTACGGGTATCCACGGGTTTTCTACGGGTAACGACGGCTTTTCTACGGGGACCCTAACTTTTTTTTTATCGGATGGTGTTTTTTCTATAAAAAAGTAACCTGGAGCAACGGACAGAGTGAACAGTTTGTTCAATTTTCCAAAAAAAACACTGCAAAGACTATGGTGTGGGCACGCCTATAGGGCTCATGTTCTCCATGGTTTCTTTTTGAAGCCATCCCACACCAATGTCTTCCAAACCAACCCCGGTCCAGGAGTCACGTTCTCTTCTATAATTAAGCTTTGGGGATAAGAGCTTTCCAAGAAGCAGGGATCCGCAGGTGGAAACCCTGCCTCAAGTACGCAAACACTCCCCACAGCTCCGCGTACCCCAGGTCGATACCTTCATCCGTCATGGCCTCAAACAAAGCCTGCGCGGGTGGCACAGATTCCGGCAAGGAGGGCTGACCGTAGCGGGTGCTCGTGAAGTCTTCGTAGAGGTCTGCTATAGTTCTCCCAAATTGAATTGTGTATTCCCTTAGTTGCAGGAGCCAAGAAGTATACAACTTGACGCTTGTACAAGGCCAATGGAACCTTTCTTATATATGAGTGCATATGTTTTCGGAAGCTGTATATATATTCCTGACATATATAGTTTTTGATTGAGACACACCAATCCAATCATTGTTGCATTTGGAGTTGCATATACTATAGGTGTGAAATATGCATGAGCCGGAACTTAGATTAGCGATCCAGAGAACAAAAGGAGTATCCTTGCGTCAAGCATCTCAGTACCCTTCAAAGCAGGTGACCCCTTGAAGCGCTTGGTCCCATCTTTCGATGTATAGTGGACAGTGGTTTCTACCTTCATGGCCGGATCAACTTTCTGATGTTCATGTAGGATGCCCCTATCCAACCGACGCACCACTGGGGAGTTGCTGAAGCCATAGTGAGGCTTCGAGGATCTGGCTCCATAGTGGGCTGCCCACCATGAAACCCGGAAGACCTGCAGCAAGATGCGAAGACTCCTATTGACATATATATGGCTTTGTAAGTGCTTTGTTATATATCCGCCTTCAACAACTGAGGCTACCGACAGCTGACCCCCTTTGAGCTTGATAGCACAATTGGAAGAAATGAAGTAGCATGGGGTAGTATTCCAGCCGTGACAGCCCTGGCTGTTCCAGAGCAAAGGTCCCACCAAGACACACAACGACCATCATTAGATATATTGTCCTTAGCACCAAAGTGTCACTCAGCAAACAAGATACCCCACAAAAGGTGACCAACAACAATGCCATTGGACATTTTCTTAAGATGCAAGGTCCCCCACGCCGAAACTGGACATGTTCCCAATTGATCCTAGAATCCGCTCACACAAGGCGTTGGCTTCCCGGACGCTCCCATACTCATCAAAGCCGATGCTTGCGCACGGAGCCCTGTGTGAAGTACCGGTATTGATGGACGACCAGCTACTGCACTTGATGGCGAAGAACGCAAGGAACTTGTTGGGACAGGTGTTGAGCAAGCAAGCCAATGCTAACCTTATATAGAGACTTTTGGGTTGTTGAGAACGGCATGTTGGATGGCTCACAGGAGAAAAAATAAAGGCATATAATATAATATACAAATCTGGGAAACGCAAACCCTGCTGGACTAAGTAGATCCATGGGGTTTGTCTTCAAGTCGGAGTCTGGGTTGTGGTACTTGATATCCAACTTTCCTGTGTGGTACCCGCTCAGCTTCATGCACCGAGAAAGGTTCGCTTTCCCAGCAAAGAACTCTAACATCTCGAAGTCCTCGGGGCACTGATATATAGTTTTTTGATTTTCATGGCGATGCCACAGCATTGACTGCAAACACCCATGGCCATGAGCATGGCTTTGTATAATCAAAATCCCTTCATCCCAACGCTTGAAACCGTTCTCCTTCCCTTGAAGCAGCATCACCGGCTTTGTCCAAAGAACACAAAGGATGCACAGGGCCAGTACCTATGCATGCGTGGAGTCGGATTAAACATGTTGCTTTGACCACCTGCGGTGAGTTGGCAACATATTCAAAGAACACATGCGAAACTTAGCCTCCTACCTTTGGACATTTCATTTGCCGCAAGCGATACATCAAGGCGTCCAGGTCTGGGCCATCTTCCAAAGGCATCAGAACAACTCTTCCCTATTCCACGGGTGTTCTGAAGCGAACACTTCACCCGCTTGAATCAAAAATCCGTGCAGAAGAACGAGCAGGAGTTTTGAAGACGAGATTGTAAGGCTGTCAAATGACCAAAACTTAAGTGCTCATGGAACTACCCGTACCCTCGAACATAATATATATATATCAAAAACCCTCGTGACTCATATCATATCAATCCATGATCGATGCAATCTTTATACATCGTTTTGACTTTAAAAAGACGAAAGCCTCTCAGCCGTAGACACTTGAATCTATCAAACAGGGCAGTGGTTCGGTTTTTCTTCTTTGTCCATTTGGACCTCACCCGGAAAATGTTCCGCTTGAGGCGCATGCCGCCCAGCAAAGCCTGCCGCGATGTTGCAAGGACAGAGAAACGGAGTAAGAGGGTGGTGTTGTGCTGTGGCTGGCGAACTCTTTTGTAAGGGACAGAAGTTGAAGTTCCATGGTCCGGTCGATGAATGGAAAGCACAAAACGGATCAACACAGATTATAGGCTCATATTTTTGAACCCTTGCGGCGCTGCGTGCATGACTGCGTATACAGCTGCTACCCAAATGTACCGGCCACACGCTAGCCAGACAGACAAATATTTCAGTTTGGAGCAGTTCACAATGAATGGCACAGTTCATTTTTGGAATATATCGAACAACTGCACTGCATAAAGTATACATGTCCTAAGAGGTCTGCGAGGGAGCCTACCTGGCCCTAGGCGTGCGATAGGTACAATAAACCCATCCATGGACACTGCGCGGATGCGCACAGTGATCAAAACAAAACCACAGTCTCATCTCAGGCATGATCCGCAAACAAGTCATTCTTGTCCTCGTTTGCGAAGAAGAACAATGCGATAGCTCCGTTTGCCTTGAGCCGCAGGAACTCCTCGCCATGCCTAGTGTCGAAGCCAGGCTGTCCAGCATCAATCCCCAAAGCCTGCGCTGTCAGAGCTGAAGTCATGCATTTCAAGTGAACTGTGGATCGAGGGCTCATGACTCCAAAGACTCGTGACTTAAGGAGACACTTTTCTTCTCGGTGTGATGGTTGGGCCAGTATAGTATACATTATAGCGTGGCAGCCCTTCAAAACTATAAAAAGCAAGACAAGACAAGACAAGGGGCACAAAGCTCTGCACAGCGCACTGCGACCCCCAATTTGAGGCGACGTGGGGCGGAACTGCAGTTGAAGCTAAAGCTCACCTCGTCCTTTCCCTGAAAGCCCCACTCATCACTCCAAATCTTGACTCCCACTGCGTTGCGGGACCAGTAGATGTTCAATTGTGTCTTCTTGAGGGGAAACAGCGCCTCTCGCACTTTGCTCCGCAATGTATCTTCATCACGCTCCAGTTCCTCAGGGAACTGCTGAGCCCAATCCATCAAAGCTTTCACCACTTCATCCATGCGCATGGGGTTCCTTACAAGTGCATCCTCAGCCGTGATCTTGATGGCTCCCCTTCCTCTCTTTGGTTTTGGGGCTCCATCCTCAGCCTTCTCAGGCTTGACTCGGGCTGCCTTGGCCTTGGCTCTTGCATTCATCTTCGGCTCGGCTTTCCGTTGCTTCTTTGCCTGCTCTTTTGGAGCCTTTGCCTTTTGATATTTTGGCTTTTCCACCTCAGACTGATCAAGGGTGGATGAGCTTGCCTTCAAGATCTTTCGCTTCCGGCTCACTCGCCCCTTCACGGCGGTCTGAGATTGTTGCTCTTCCTCACCTGTGGTGGCTTTCTTAATCTTCTTCTGTCGGTTGGCCTTGGCCTTCTGACCCTTGCCCTTTTTGGCTTTCTTGTTGGCTTTCTTGTTGGCTTTCTTGTTCTTTTTGTTCTTCTTGCCATCCTTCTTGGACTTCCTGGCGCCCTTCTTCGCCTGCTTGAACCGCAACTGCTGGTCCCTCGAGACGTACCGCCGAGATGTGGCAGCAGGTTCACCGGCAGCAGGTTCACCGGCAGCAGGTTCACCGGCAGCAGGTTCACCGGCAGCAGGTTCACCGGCAGCAGGTTCACCGGCACGAGGTTCACCGGCGCGAGGTTCACCGGCACGAGGTTCACCGGCAGGAGGAGATGCATTTGCTCCACCCATTTCCACATCATTCCCGGTGGCATCGGCCTTTGGATGAACCTGGCGATTGAGCATAAGGCTGAACAAAAAATGAACAGGTTCTGAGGTGTTCGGACATGAATAAACTATGAAAAACGTTGAGCATAACCTCAGCCACACCACAGACCCACACAATCTGGCAAGTCCAAGAAACGGATTCTGCAGTGGGCTGCTTCACGGCAGGTTGTGTAGAAAAAAACAAGTGTTGCAAAGCGCTACCATTTGCCACTTCCATTGGTCCCGCTAGAGTTGGAGACCCTTTCTCCGTGCCCTGGTACTGCTCGCGGCGCTCTGCAGCTGTCATCGCCGGCGAGGAAGAAGGCTCTGGTTCCACTGCTGCTGCGATCATACCGTGTTCAAGACTGTCATCTCCCATTGGAACCGTTTCCTGCACGTCCGTCACTCCAGTCGCTCCTGCCCAGGTTTGTTTTGTAAAGCCGAACCATGCAGAGAAGCCATGCGTGGGAACAATACAACAAGTGTTGAACCGTACCGTCCTGCGTTTGCCGCTTGTTTTGGAGCAGGAGCTATAGGAGCAGGAGCAGCAGGCATAGCCTTTTTCGCTCTCAGCCTCAGGTTGATGCCAATATATAATATGAACACGCATGATTAAAGGCATGTGTACATTTTCCATCGAATATCTATGTTCTTGCATCAACAAATGGATGCACATATATAAGCTTCAAGCTCGGCCAACCGCTTCTTGGCCAGCTCCAATCTTTGATCAAGCGATTCAGCACCAGCATCACCTGAGGTTGGACTATACCAGGGCTCATCTCGAGAAAGCAATGGTTTCGATAGGATATAAACCCGATAGCGCATTGCCTATAAGAATGATGGCAGAAGCACATATAAATAGCCCCATGCAAACATCGAGGTGCTGATATGTGACCCATATTCCATGGCACATGCAACAAAGACACCTGATTCGCCTGTTGCCGTTTCCGTTGCAGGAGTCGTTGGTGGCTGCAATGTGGAAGCTGAAGGCTCTTGGGGGGGGAGCTGGAGGTGAAGGAAGGTCAGCGGCAGTCTGTGAGGGAGCGGGAGGATCCGGGAACTGACTGTCATTTCCCTGATCCCGATCGCTCTCCTCGCTGCTCTCATAGGCATCCGGGTCCTCATCCTGGTCGGCCTGTGTCAAAATGTTGGACTGATTAGGATACAGGGCACATGTATATATACCTGAAGAAAATGACAAACCCATGGGTAAACATCGTGTTTCTGCTGAATCATGGACAAGATGTTTATAACCTGATGGCCTTGGAAGTTTTCAAGACCGATTCTCAGCAAGTACAAAATTGGTCTGGTCAACTGTTCGCAGGCTGCTGTCATGTTTCATTCCCACAGGCCTCAGTTTTGGCGCGCTTCTTCAATGCCTGGCGTTTGTTGATCTTATCCACGCTCTCCTCAAAAAAGGGTTGATGCGTTGGTCCATGCATATATAGACTGGTGTCTCTTTGCTTGATATCAATGTTTTTAACACGCAAATTGCTATGTAAGCAAAATCAACCCAGTTCCTGCATCAATGGATTCAAGATCAGGCAAAGATTCTGAAATCTTCGTGCCTGGGGCCGGGGCAGTCAACGCTATCTACAGAGCAGAGCTGGGCCGCAAGATGTCATCAACGTAGGATACCCCGTGCAAAAAAAATATTTAATCAAGGTGCGATGGATGGTTTTCCAATTCGAGTCTTCATCTTTACGAAGCCTAGCAGCTTTCTGACCATCCATGAATCATGAACGATTTGCTCATCATTTGTCCATGTGGGCCCCTTGTAGAGACGGTAGAGGCTCTCTAGTTCTTGTCGTAAAGGGTCCACTGTAGGTTGTGGGTTTCCCCGCTTCTCAGCCATTCGGCAAAGGAGTGGTTGAAGAAGCTGATAGAACGGTTCCATGATGCAAATCTTGATGTTTTCAGACAACCCCTTCTCAAACAGCACGGAGTCTTGCTCCCGTAAGTGGTCCCGCAGCTCAGAGACCATGAGCCATTCCTTGTGGATGTCCTTCACATCAAGCTTTGGCCGGGACTCTGACTGAGATGAGTGAATGCTCTCTGCGCTCATCACCACGAAGCAAGTGGTGCGATACCAACGGTCACACAAAGAGTTTGTTCACGAGTTTGAGCCAAAAGGTGCTTCGATGGATATCGGGGGATCACGGGGTTTCATGAGTTTGGTTTTGGGACTGAGTTCAATCTCTACACCCCTCACTGGCCCTTGCCCCGTGCAATCAAGCCATCGTCATTGCATACCACCGCTCAACTGTCGCTGATCCAGCAGGTGCTCCGATGTGGCCCGCCTTCGTCTGGATGGATGCAACGCCGAGCGTAGAAAAAGCCACAGCCGCCACATGACGGGCGGGGCAAGAAATCTGTTCATCAGTCGCACGATGGTTTCAAAGAACCATGCACATATACTTCCGACACCTTTCCAAGCATATAGAGCTTAAACCAAACTTGGGTCCCTGAGATGTTATATATGTTCATGTCCCACCTTGCAATTTCCGACCGGTATGTGACTTGTTCTGCTGGACCGGTATGTGACATCGTGTACACGCACAAGCCCCATCGCTTGTGGTCACCCCTTGTGCCAGCAGCGAGGTACATTGGTCAACCTTCTGGTTCTTCAAACACGCATTCAAAAGAATGAAAGCATTGATTTATATAGCTTCCTGGTGGAAAACAAGAAAACACGAGTTTTTTTGAAAACACGATGTTTTGTCCAGATTCAGCAGAAAGACGATGTTTACCCAGGAGTATGACAAATTTATAGGTTGTAAGTTTCTTTAGGTAAACAAATCATCAAAGCCATCGTGGACAATCTGTTGACCGTCATGTGCTCCCAAATCTCGTTCAAAACGCTCCGAACATGAGACTCCCTCGAGGATCCCCGCAAAAAGTTTGGAGCAAATGACTTGATCACAGGGAGTTGGCCCCCTAAACTGTGGAGATTTGGAAGGTTTCTTCAGCGCTGCGGCTGTGTCCATCAGTTGCAAGCTCAAAATATTTTGTCTCGAACACGCACAACAATACACAGCACAACTCACAGTACATTCTTCTAAACTTCCAAAACAACAACAACAACAACAACAACAACAACAACAACAAGAACAAAAACAAGAGCAAGAACAACAACAACAACAACAACAATCCACAAAACACTGGCCAAGTTCCCGGTCTCAGTGGCAGTTGTTTCGTCGTAGGATTGGATCATAGCCCTGGAACCCTGCTTCAAACCCAAATCCTTCACCTCAAAACATGGCTTTGAACTTCTCTGCCTCTGCATCCACGACTCGTCACCGAAACGGGTCACTTCCCCCGCCTCGTGTGCAGACAAGATCTTCTCCACGGCGCGTGGCACATCCCAGTCGAAGGTCTGCAACGCTTGCACCGCCGCCTGGGTCTGTTAAGCCGGTCAGCACTGCGGACGGGTGGCGGATGATGGGTGGCCAATGGGTGACTGTGAAGCCAGTCACAAATACACACGTTGCTTTGGGTCCTGTCAAAAGTCCGAGAGGAATGCGGGACAATCCCAAAAAAAGTCGACGGTTGTCAAAGGTCAGGTCTGCATCCGAATGTTTTTGTCCCAGGCTCTGTATCTATTGGGGGTGATTCTGCGAAGCGATGGGAAAAAATATCCAATGCCGCAACCCTGACGACACATGCTAATGATGATGATGATGACGATGATGATGATGATGATGAGGACGACGACGACGATGATGATGATAAAATGGTGCACTGCTCATGCACTGCATCATGCACCTCAAGTGCTGATTGCTTTGCTTGGTCCCCCTTTATCATTGAAACAGAAACATTCGTGCGCATGGCAAAAGCTTTTTCAACCTTTTCAATCTCAGAACAATGCAAGTTTCCTTTCCTAACACATGAATCCCGCCCATTCAGTGATGTCAGTGATGATTTCTGCAGTGCAAAGTGATTGCAGTATTGTCCATGAAGGTATCATTAAACATATAGCTAGCCCATAGAATACCCACGAGAGTGTGCCTACAAAGTTTAGCTATCAAGGACCTGAGGCTATTTCCTTCCAGACTTTACACCACTTGCCTCAAAAGCAAGTGCCCATACAAAGAATCATATACCGAATACCGATACCTTATATACCTAATACCACGACCTAATACCGTATACCATGTTGTCTCCCAAATCTGGAAACATCTCAACCCCTTCACCTTCGCCCGCCCGTCCCTCCCAGCAAATGCTCTCCGTTTCTCCCCGGAAGCCCCCGGCCAATTCGCGGGCGACATCGGCCATGGCACTTGTACGCTGGCCTTGGTGACCTCGATGACTTGTTGGATCCGCCTCGATGTGAACCACCCAAGGAGAACGAGTGAACGGTGTTGCTTCCCGTGCCATTGGAAGCGTGTCGGTGAAGCGTGCCAACATGCCAACATGTTTTTCTCCCAGACACTCCATATTGGACTGCCATCTTGACTAAAATGATAGGTATATGACGGTAATTATATAGGTTTCGGGTGTCCATGTGGGCGATATATATATATATTATATTATCACTTGAGAGAAGGGAGACACGAAAGGTAGGACAGCGGGAAGAGAAG